GTAAATTTAGTATACTACAGGGGCAAAGGTGACCATTGAGCCTATTTTTTAAAAACACACCTTAAATTATGTTTTGGTTACACGTCGTTAAAAATTTAACGATGATGCTGATATGCTATCATGATGTAATGTCACATCATCATTTAAAAATACCACATCAATAGTTTTATTTATTTTTTAATGGTGGGTGACTTAAATGTAACGTTAGATATGATTTTGAAAAAAATAATTTAATGACCAAAATAGAACTAACGTGATAGTTGGATGACTACGTGCGTAGTTTACCCTCTCTTCTTTTTTCTTTTCTCTTTTTCCTTCGGTAGGGGTTAAACTCCTCCGATGAATAACATTAAACAATCCGAAAATCAAATCTAACAATACAAAGAAACCTAGAAAAATAAATTGAAAAATCGCCTACTTCTATAGATCACTCCAAAGATCAAACTACTGAGATTCATATTATCCGCCATGAGCTCTCCGGTAATCTGATCTGTTTCTCCAATTTTGTATTCCAAAAAACGAGAATGAAATATATGCAAATTTTGAATTGATTTTCTCATTTTTTCAAATGTTGTTAAATTCGAATTTATAGGGAAGTGGGATATTTAATGGATTTACAAAGCTATGCAAGGGATTAGCTGTGATATTAGTCGGTGGACACATTGTGGTTCAGCTTCTTCCTGTTTCTGTTACTTACCTTGCTCTCATTCCCGCCAGGTTCTCTCTCTTTTCCCCCTTTTTGATTTGTTGATCTCATTTTGTGTGTTGATTTTATGCAATATGATGCTAGAGATTCTGGGTCATGATTAAATGTTAGTTTTATTTGCACTTTTGGTGAAATATCCACGTGAGATTTTTTGTCAAATTTCATTGCTGATTGCACAAGTTTTAAGTAATCTTATAATTAGATTTGTCTTTCTTTCCCTCTTTTCTTGGATTTGGATTTTTCGATTTCAATTTGTTTCGGCGCGCTCGTTGGACTGATTTAAGATCTTGTTGTTTGGATGTTTAGATCTGGCCTTTTGGAATAGTGTTAGCATTTCCTTTTGATGTTTTTTTCCCCTTCAATTTTCATAGTTAAGTGAAAGGCATATGTTTTGTAATTGTTCAAAGGGAGTGACTTACTTCTTTGTTCATTTGAATGCTTAGATCTGGATTTAGGTACTTGAAATAAACTATTAGCAATCTTTGTGTAGTGATTTTATTATTCTTTTAGAATTTGCTTGCTCTTTTTAGGGGACCCATTTTTAGTTAAGCAGAATATTTATTGCTTTTAAACTTGAGCGAAAGTAATGACTTACGATTTTGATATTCTAGTGCATAGATCTAGATTTTGGTGCTTCAGAAAAGCTTTAGGAACCATATTTTTAGCATCTTCATTTTCATGGCTGCTTACAGTGATGGGTTGGTCGTTTTTTTCATGCTTGGCTAAATGGAGTTGTTAGTAGGATTTATTATCTAGAATTTAGATCTAGATGGATCTCAGTTTACAAAGCAGTATCCCGCTTTTTTCTTTCTTTCTTTCTTTTTTTCTGGGATTAAAGCTCTAACAATGATTTTGAATGAATTGGGGAATTCAGTATAAGATCCTGTAAAAGAATGAGTTTTAGATTTTGAGGTCGGAAATCTGGTATGAGTCATTCCATTTGATATTAATAAATGGCCTGCTGAGATATCACAATTGATTAATTTGGTCGTAATCCATGCAAATTGCTTATTGTGATATGTTTTCTTTTTGGCACACGATTAAGCTGGCTCCTGTAACTTCAATTCTTTAGTGTTGCTCGTGTTGGACTAATATATATTAGGACTTTCTTTTCCCTTGAGATGCCAAAGAGTACTGCCTTCAGTTGTAAATTTTGTTTCAAGGACTTATATATATATATATATATATTTCATCCCATCTGAAACTTATTTTGCAGAACTATTCCTTTCGGTTGGAACCTCATAACAGCTGGTTACATTGAGCAATCAGTACATGGGGTATTAACATTCATCTGACTCTTTATTTTACCTATTTTTTATTCATCTTTTTCCTTGTTATAATCGTCTTGATGGTTACTGATTTCTGCAGGTGGTTATTAGTACGCTTGGTCTTCTTTTCATGGGGAAGTTGCTTGAGCCTGTATGGGGTTCTAAGGAATTCTTGAAGTTCATCTTCATAATTAACTTTCTGACATCTGTTTGTGTCTTCGTTACTGCTATTGCCTTGTACTATGTGACAATGGAGGAAAAGTACCTGTGAGTACTTCGATATTCCTACGTGTTTAAGAAGCATTTATTTTTGTTTATTTCTTCCCCTGTTCTGTTTTCCCCCCTCGAGTATTCTCAACTATTTTTTCTTGAAGTAAAAGAGTTATAAGATTGAAGTACTCTTTTCTCTGCTTTTTCTCTGACTGAATGGTAGGAAATGGTGTATTTATTTTGGACCTATATTATGCAAAATTTATTCTAATATATTTTCACTGTTCATTTTGATAATTGTTAGCTACATGCCTATTTCTGGCTTCCATGGGGTGCTGACGGGCTTCTTGGTTGGCATCAAGCAAATCTTACCTGACCAAGAGCTACATCTCCTAAAAATAAAAGTAAAGGTAAAGATTTATTTTGCTAGGCCATTTAATTCAATTTGGCATAAAACATTTTTCTGGCTGGAAATTCCCACTTTGCACCCTTTGATGATGCTTCCTATGCCATGCAGTGGTTGCCATCGCTTGTGCTATTGCTTTCAATTGCCATAAGTTTCTTCACCCACGAGTCTGCAACATATCTTCCAACTTTGATATTTGGGACATATATTGGCTGGATTTACCTCAGGTACCTGCAGAGAAAACCAGAATCGAAGCTTAGGGGTGATCCGAGTGAAGAATTTGCATTCTCTACGTTCTTCCCTGAATTTCTCAGGTATTGTCTGGTTTTCCTTTTAGCTTATGAAATGAGTTCATTTCCCTCTTCTTTCTCTCAAGTGTTTCTATGTGATTTGCGACAGGCCGATTGTTGATCCCATTGCATCAATATTTCACCGGATGCTTTGTGGAAAGTCTGAAATTTCCTCAGATTCTCAGGGTTATACATTGGGCGGTGCACCATTACTTGGTTCTGATCCTATCGAGGCATCTAGGAGAAGGTACCTCTTTATGTTTAATTCTTCCATAGATGTTCAAGTAACATGGTTTTCGTAACTTAATTCATCATAGAATTAGGAAACATATAATGTTGTTAACCGAGACCTTAAATATTAGACAAATGCCGAAATGGAGTCAGCAGTTGCTTCAGTGCATTTAGAAAGTTCAGTGACATCATATTCCGATGAAATTTGTAGTATAACCCTGGCCTTGTATAATTTAGGAATTAGAATAGGGAAAAGCGAATTCCAGTATACATGCTTAACTTGTTCTAGCTTTGCAACAAATCTAGAGTCCAAATACTTAAACCTCACCCGGGTCGGATAATTTGATGTATCCTCTATCTCTACTCTAGGGTACAAAAATGAAGTATTTAACTTTCTGGGGTGCTTCCCCGGAGTATGTCGCGTAAGATGTGTATTGGTGAAGATAATAATTATTTTCTTTTATCGTCAATGAAACACTGGCATTCTTACGAGAGAAAAGAAAAAGATCAGTTTCTAACCTCTGACCTTGCAGGGAAAGAGGGGCTAGAGCACTGGAGGAGAGATTAGCAGCTGAGAAATTGGTTACCGGACGTAATTCAGAAGAGGCTCACATAGATGCAAGTGACCGTGTTTGATTGCTCGGAAATTCCCGTTCATTAACTACAAAGGTTATGAGCAATTATGTGCCCTTGCCCCGTTTTATAAGATTAGAAATGACAAAATCCTAGAGCATCTTGTTACCCGTAACACTATAATATATGCAAAATTCATTATTTTCAAATGCATTGGTTCTTATATGTTGATTGCTTGTATAATTCACTTTTGGACCGTTTTCATTGTCCTTTGCCCTCGTTGTGAACATTCTTTTATAATAGTATTTCTCATCTTATGTTCATGTTGTGATCCGAACTCATCGGAATTTTGATCGAAACGAAATTTAAACTATTTAACACCAGATTAAAATCGAAACGGTGCATGCTAAGGAAATGATTATGAATAAACAGTATGGCGAGATTTTCTGCCACAGGTTCATGTGGCATCTAATTCTTCGTGCCCTTTCTCCGGCCATAGTATGTCGTCATTGATTGGCACCGGAAACAACGTATGGTCAGGCCTAAACGTTATTATATTGACTGTCGGATTTATTGTTTTAATGGCTTTGTTGCGGATTTTTTACATAAAGCCTTACGGCAAAACTACCTGATGGTACCTTGGTCTTCTTTTCATCGTATGCATGGTGGTGAGCTGCGAGTGTTGTAATCTTCGGCGGTGTCATGATCGAGTTATGGCACCTTTGGGAGAAAAAAAGGTTTCTGCAAAGGTTGAAACTGTTGCAGACAAAGATTAAGATTCAGAAGAATCTTGAAAGTTCAACCACCATTCAATATGGTACCAGACCAGACCTCAAAAATGACTGTCATTATAAAACTTCAAACGAAACTCACGTCGAACACATACACACACTTATCTGGCATTAACAGCTGAGTCCGAGTGGTTTTTCTCGAGTTTGATTCGTTTTCTGTTTCTCTTGCTTAGCAGAAACATTTGCGGCCACAAAAAGAAAATGGGGTAATGTCGGTGGAGGTGTGTCAATCAAGTGTTGCTGAAGAAATCAGGTCGCATAACATAAGGAGACAACGCCATCACACCATTTTCCATTTCAACAGTCATAGCTCTGATCTATACTTATTAACACTACTTGAATAGTTATATGTATACCATATATGAATGTATGTATGCATATTTGGAGTGATGAAGAAGCCTAGATGCATGTAATGTATAGGTGAAGCACAAGGAATCTGCCAATCCCTGACTTAGATGGCTCCATTGTTATGGCAATGAAGATATTATTTTATAACATTCATATATATATATAGTTTTCTGGGGGAAAAAACTTGTAAATACCTCATTGTAGTTCTCTGTAAGCATAAGCTAGCTGGTAGATGAATCATACTATATAATCTAGCATTGCTAGCAATGTCACATATTGACAAGTAGATGCATTTACATTAAAAGAATTTCAACAAAAATAAAGAGAAGGGGACATGACAAAAGGGTGTCGGGGCAAAATACCGGGTGCATCAGACACAGTGAGGATGAACGTCGTGATTGCCATCTCGACTTGCTAAATTCCGCTATCGACGGTGGCTTGGCCGTAATATCTCAAACATATGAACTTCTTGTTTCTTGATGTCATCATCAGCTGGCAATGGATTAGATTCTACCGTATGACAGTGCTTAGTTCCCTTTTGCTGGTATTATTCCCTTCTCATTCTTGGAGGGGAAGAGCCGGCGCGGGGACCTTGAACCGACTGAGTTTCGGGATCATACTTTTGAGAAGCAAGATAAGTGAGTGCAGTCACTAGATCCGCTATAAGCGGCCGCATATTCGGCTGTTCCTGAACACACATTGCAGCCACAGCTAGAGCTTGGTACAAGCCCCTCACTGGATATTGGCCTTGAAGTAAAGGGTCAGCCATTTGTGCAAAATTTCTTCTATCATTAAACAAGGGACGAGCCTATAAAACAAAATCCAAATCTCATAAGAGATTCATTCAGTTACAGAATAAGAAAGGAAATGAAAAACGACTCGCAAGGATCGTTATGCTTCTTTCTCGTTTTACTTTCTTGGTACTCATTGAAGCTCAAACATGGATGTTATTAAGACTAAATGATCAAATAATTCTCGTTCTCATATCGAATATTGACTTCTAAACACTTTGTGAATGAGCAAGTGATAGGTATCTTACCCAGGCAACCAGATTTTGCTCACCGCCAGTTCTCGAGTTGTCAATAGCTTTCCTTCCGGTAATGATTTCGAGCAGAACAACCCCGAAACTATAAACATCTGATTTCAACGTAAGCTGACCGGTCATTGCATATTCCGGAGCACAATATCCATAGGTCCCCATCACTCTAGTGGATACATGAGTATTATCTCCAACAGGACCCAATTTGGCCAACCCAAAATCAGATAGCTTCGGACGATAGCCTTCCCCGAGCAAAATGTTTGAGCATTTTAAATCTCGATATATGACCGGCGGGTTAGCTTTGTCGTGCAGATACTCCAAACCTTTTGCAGCACCGGCAGCTATTTTCATCCTTGTATTCCAATCGAGCTGCCTTCTGTCGAGAGGCAAATCTGATATAGAAGCAACGAAGACTAAGCATGACATTCGATTATGCAACAGAAATCCTAGTCAGGAGTACATGTTCATACCATGTAGATGATCTTCTAAAGATCCTAATGGCATGTATTCGTAAACCAAAAGTCTCTGATCTCCATCAGCGCAATATCCGATCAAGTTGACGAGATTCGGGTGGTGAAGCATGCTCAACATCAACACTTCAACCAGGAATTCCCTGTTCCCTTGCAGTCCGTTACGATCAAGCTGCTTGATCGCCACAACCTATGAAAAACAAGGGACAAAGTCACGCTTAGTCCTCATCAACTCGTGCCGTTGTACATGATGAAATCGGGTTGCGACGGCCTATGAAAGTCGCCGCAACCCCATTTCTCCGATCAACGATATTAACTTAAATCCATAACAACACACATACTTGATTAGTGCTCTCCAATTGCCCTTTATAAACTCGGCCGAAACCTCCTTCACCAACATGGCAATCTGCTCTGAAATTCTTAGTTGCAGCAGCCAATTCACGGAAAGTAAAAGTACGTGCTGCAATGTGATCGGACTCACCATCCTTCTTTGCATTTGGTGCAGAATTCACCTTCAGCTTCTCTCCTGTCACAGTAAAATACAGAAGATCCATGTCAATACCTTTGAAATCCTATATCAGATCACCCTAAACATTGAAAACCCAGAAATTTAACAAAAAAGTTGAAACAATTAAACAAATGAATCAAACTCAGACCAATTATTCATTTAACATTCTATTCTATTCAAAGATCAAATCTTTATCTATGTTTTCAGGGGAACATAAGAGTAATAAGAACCTGAAGTAGAAGGGATCTGATGATCAAAGGTGTTATTATTGATGGGAAGCTGCTTCTTTCCATTTTGGTTTGATTTTCCACCACAAGGGAAACAACCCATTTGAAAACTTTTAGCAAGAAGATGAAGAAACAGGGGAAAGGAAGGGAACAAGTTAAAATACACAAGATGATGATCATGATCATCAAGTTTTTTAAGGAATTAGATTAAATCTAAAGTAGAATTAGTCATTAAATATAATGATTGGTTGAATAGTTTTGACCAAACTTGGTCATAGTTTGTGTAAAGCAAAAAAAAAAAAAAAGCAGTGGGAAAGCAAGTGGGGACTCTATATTCTGCATATCCAAGAGAGCTCATCTTTGTCTCCTACCATACCTAAAAGGGGTTTTTGTTATAAATGAATTATTTGTGTAACACATTAAAATAACAGAAAAAAATTACCAATTATTACATTTATAATTAGAAGCTAATGAGTGTCCTAAACCAAGCCTTATTATTAAACTTCATGTGAAGATGAAGAAGAACCCCATTTAACACAAGCTTTTGTTTCAGATCATTCTTCTGATTATAAACAGTTTTGAAGTTAAATGGTGAATATATATGCTGCTTTTCAGTTGCAGTGGTGAATATATATGTTGCTTGGACAAACAGGCAAATGATGACTACTGCTTTTATCCATTATATTATACTGATTCAGAATTTCAATTGGTAAAAGTTCTGATGAGTCTAAGCCATCAATTAATTTCAAGCATTAGCCTGAAACTGTATTGAACCATCAACATATATGATAACCTCCAGAATTCATAATAGTTTTAATTCAGATACAACATTTAAAGCAATAAAAGATAAATACAAGATCCTGTGGATCAGCCAACTGCAGACACTTTGTAAATTTGTGAACAAACCAGCAACACATAACCAACAGCACAAGTTTTCGGCATTTGAATCACTTAGAACACTCTTTCATGGCCTTTTGGGAAAGGGATACATCAGTGAGCACCGTCTTGGACTGCATCGATGCCTTCAATAGCTCCACACCCTGAAACAAAAACCAGACAAATGCAATTAAACGTGTGCTTCCTACAGCAGCTTTACATATGAGTCCGAGTAAATCAAAGCTCACCTCATCCATGCTTACATCAACAATTTTCTCTTCCAAAGCATCAACTTGTTTGACGTTGAACTTGTTGAGTATAGTTATGATTGTAATACTTGACATTGCTGTGACAGTTATACAAACATCGATATACTCCTTGTGGTTGATGATTGAATGTTAGGCAAAAGAGAGGAACATTGGTTGACAAGCTCGAAGAATATGAAGGTTTCAGCAAGGTGTCCCTGTTTGTTGTGGGCTGAATGTATGCATCACCCAGATTCTCAACGCTCTGGTAAAGGTTCCCAAGGCATCCCACCATGCCTTGTTTTCTTAGCAGCCTTATAACATTTCCAACAGGCAATAACAATATGTTGAATAGAAAATCAACAAAATCTTTGCCAGCTTCAGCAAAAAGAACCCTTTGCCCTTTTGAATCTATCAGAAGCTTCAAGCTCACGGTGGCATCGGTGGCGGTTGCCATGAATGGTATTCGAAATAAAGTGAATTGCAGTGAACCCCAAACCAGTTATGCATGCTTTATATGGGAGGTTTCTTCTAGCAGTAATGATGTTTATGGAGAAATGGGAAGGACAAAATGAAGGTTCAGTGAAGAGAACTCTTGTCCTCTGGTTCACCTGTAGGTAGTTTGAACCTGCCATGTACCATTAATGCAGTTTCTTTACTCCCTCATCAGATCATAAATGACTTCAAGTTGGTCGAATCTGTTACCTTACGGAAATTTAGTCCTTAGTTCAAAACAATGGACTTGGAAGAACCAAATAAATAAATCCATAAAGAAAAATACACAAAATGAATGAATGCAATTAGTTCATGTAAGAAATTAGGAATGCAAACCGTATTAGATTCATTCAACTAACAGCAAGTCATTTATGAATTGATGTGGAATCAAAGAAATGGACTTGCAGTTATTACATAGAGCTGATGATAACGCGCGCACAATCTTGCAAACGCAACTACTTGAACACAACCTCTAGCTCTGAAGAGGTTAACATTCTCTTTTACCACTAACGCCACTTGATGAGTTCCTATCGATTTAAAAACACGTGTTTTCATGGCTTTTGTCTGGTTTTTTATTTCAGCGTGTGGAATCACTGAATCCTTCAGTATAGTTCAAGACAGTATGGCCACGGTCAACTATTTCGAGTTAAAGATTTTATACGATTCAACTTATCTAGTCGAGAGTGTAAGGTAAAGTCCTTACAACTCAATTTATTTCATTTATAATGTCGAATTTTAAACATTTAATTTTGCTCAATACGTTTAACGTCTCATCCTACTAAATTATCCGCTTCTTAGTAGAATTTGATTATTATTATTATTATTAGGGTAAATTACGCGTTTAACACTTAAACTATCAGTTCTGATTCGTTTTAGTACTTAAACTTTAAATTTTTTCAAAATCATACCTAAAATTTAGTTTTTGTTTTATTTTTAATACATCGCCGTTAAAAACTTTAGTTTTTGTTTCATTTTAGTACCCCATTCAAATTTTAACGTTAAGTTTTGAAACGGTTGAAAGTTTAGGTACTAAAACGGACCAAAACTAATAGTTTAGGTACTAAACGCGTTAAGTTTTTAATGGTGGGGTACTAAAATGAAATGAAATCTAAACATCAGGTATGGTTTTGAAAAAATCGAAAGTTTAAGTACTAAAACAGACTAAAACTGATAATTTAGGTACTAAATACGTAGTTTACCTAAGCCATCAAAATCTTTATATATTTAGTTTATTATATAAGAATTTTTAAAATCGAATAAATATATATATAACCTCTTAGATTATTTTTTTTCTTTTTTTCTTGAAAAAAAATCACATTATATATAAATAAGTTTTTCTTCTCTTAATTTAATGATAAAATTATTATTAGTTAATTTAGTGAAACGATACAATAAATTTCTTAAATAAAACTAAGGATTTTATTTTTGATGTTGTGATTGACATAAATTGAGATATAAATATCACCCTATAATAAATATTTATCGTATACAATTTGAATTTGTTAATCAATAAATAATAATCATACACCAATGTTTAATAAAAAATACAAAAGTAAAGTATTAAGAATTGGAGATCATAAGTGAGTTGCAGGGCAGTGGCTGGGCGGCGTGAACTGCGCGACCGCACAGGGCTCCAAAAAATGGGGCCTAAAAAAGTATATATATAGTGGCGTTTTTTCTAATAAACGCCATTAACGATGGATCTATTGTGACATTTTTCAAAAAAACGCTATTATTATTGCGGCTTTATTGATAAAACGCCATATAGATAGATCTATCGCGGCGTTTGTCAAAAAAATGCCACTATTATTGCCCCGAAATCGAATATATCTAGAAAATATGGGCCCTTTTATAAGAATTTGTACAGGACCCCCGAAAACCCTACCACTACCCTGGTGAATTGCATCATATATATATATATATATATATATATATATATATATATATAAGAACTGGGGGATGAATGTACATCTCAGGGTCAACATGTGCCCACCATGGAATCTGAATTTCTTTATACTAATTATTCATTTTATTGAAGATGCTCACCCTAAAATTTTGTTGTGTCCATCCTGGAATTCGAATTTCTTTATATTAGTTATTCATTTTACTAAGGTGTCCACCCTGAAATTTTATTCGTGTCTGTCCCATATAATTTTTTTTTATTATTAATACATATGTGTCTACCCTGAAAAATATTTCTAGATCTGTCATTATACATAAAGGGTGTTCATTATTGGATATTCGATTTTTTGGTACCAAAATAATCGGCTCATATTTTAATTGATGAAACTAGTACATGTAAAATCTGAATATTTGTATTCTCAAGTCACGGATATCCGGTTCATATTTATGTTATTATTTTTTTTCAAACTATATTATTTTTGAAATAATCACATAGGAAAAAAATATAAAACTGAAAAGTTAGTACATAATTTAAACATAGAATTTAGAAATCCAAATTACATAATCCAAAGATAAAACTTCAAAAACAAAAAATTATATTAAAGAGATACGACTAATTTTAGAACATTTTACGATTAAAAGAGATCAACTGAAAAATAATTTAGAACGTTAGAGTAAAATAATTTGAGAAACTAGAATTTTAGAATGTTTGAAAATTAATTTGAGAATTAAAAAAAATTAGTTGACTCTATTCCCATATGTAATGAGATAAGGGGGAGGTAGGGTAGTAGGCTGCCCCCAACGCCAGGTTGAGAGCAGCTTCCGTGGAAGACTTCCGGCAGTCAGAATTATGAATTGCCCACCGTAGGACTCGATCCCACGACCACAAGGTTAATTATGAATGGAAAACTTAATCTTCAGGATGTGCAACATTTCTTTCAAGCTCACCTTGGTTTCCATATCTCTTATGTTAGTTGAGATTGTAATATTGTTGCTCATACTCTAGCCAGTTGGTCTACAATAACTTGTGGTGCTCTTTTCTTCGAGTCGGTTTGTCCCGATCTTATTGCTATGGTTGCCTATGATGATGTAACTCTAATTAATTTTAATATATTTTGGGTACTCTTTTCCTCTTGTTAGAACTTAGAAGGGGTTTTTAATTAGGTCGTAGGTTTCTTTCAAAAAATGTTTTCACTTTATTCAGACCTCGATCTAGGTCTTGATTTCTAGTTCAATCTAAAACTATACAAATTTTTGGAACTAAAATTATTATTATTATATCAAATCATATAATCATCTCCATTGAGTTTTTAAAAATAAGTTGCTAAAATAAAATGAAAACATAAATTGGTGACTAAAATGTCAAAAATAGAAATTCAGTGACAAATATAATTGCAATAAAAATTGGGTGACTAAGTAGACTGTTTACCCTTACATTAATTAAAGACATTATGTAAATCATTTATTTTTTTTAATAGTATGAAGTGATTGTCCTACGAGCATGGCTGCTCAAATCATACAAACATTAGAAATTAGTGTGAAAAACTTGAGAACTTTTTTTTGTTTTAATCATCAATATTTGATTTATTAATTTATTGATCCGACTAAAATATCGTAAAAGTTCATTACGAAACA